ATTTGACAACCAACGGTTACAATAAGTGATTTGCGATTTTTCTTCGATATATGAGAGTGAATATTCTAAAAATATGAAAAGGTTTATAAAAGTTGATTATCATGCAAGAAAAAAAAGTCAGATAAAAAATTATCTCTTACATAAAAAAAGGATAAAGAAAAAAATGGTATTGAACTGATGACATTGTTGTTGTTATATTGTTATTGCATTTAATAAATTTTTTATTTTATTATCATTTTAGAAAATATTGGTAATATAAACATGTTAAATTAATCAATTAATTAAAAACGACCATGGCATGCATGTTTTTGAAAATGTAATAGTAATAATTCGAAAAAGTGATTCATTTATTTTAAAATTGTAAACAAACATGCCTTTTTGAAATATAAAAAACAGCGGTAAAGTGGTGATAAATCGTAAATCAATAAAAAACGAATAATAATTAATAATTAAAAATAATAATTAAAAAAATATGTGTTCTATTTTTGTTTCAATTATTAAACAAATAACTTCCACCGAGGGAACAATCAGCAGAACTACACTTTGTAGAAACGACGATGTCTTTAGAGAGTTAACTTCAATGATATTATGACACGGTAAACAACGTGTTAAGAGTTTCCAAGCACTCGACGGTTGTTCTGATAATAGTGGTGACATAAATAAATATGAACGATATAAAGATCTCCAAATTAATGTAAAACAGGTGAGTTGGAAGTAAATGATATCTCAAAGTTGAAAACTATTGAAAATTGGATTAGTAGGTATTCTAGTAACGAATAAAAATCTTTAATTACATTTCTCCAAGTGAATTTTTTAGTTGAATGTTTCGAATATTGCAATTTTACCTATAATCCCGAGCCGGTTTTAAATTCATACTTTACTGGTAAAAAATTAGCATAAATGTCTTTTATTATGCATAAATGTGAATGAGGTTTTTGTATTTGATTGTAATTTTGCATCGATCTGCATTATTTAATTCTTTCCGTTTTTGGTGAATTGCGAATTAACTTTATTTATCACAAAAGCGCGATTATACAAGCACGGAATAGTATTGGAGACGCAAGTGTGTGACAAGAGCACCTATAATTGAATTAATGATATATAAGCAGTTCAAATTCGATGTGATTTAAATTTGTAATGAGGTTTAACAACTATATTGGCTTAGAGATAAATCAACAACAAATTAGTTTCGACTCAATAAAAAATTTCTTTATAAATAACTAAATAAAATTATCCATCAATGAAACTCGTAGTTAGTAATAACCGATTCACATAATAATTATTGTTATTGTTAATTATTACACTCTCCCAAATAATAATTGGTGACGATACTAATACTGTCTGTAAATCAGTACAAGTTTAACAAATTTACTATGTTAACTCGCAGTGTTGGTAATTGGACTGGAACAGTCTAGTCCCAGGTCCAATCACCACTGATTCAAAAAAATTTTGTATTATCATCATCATTAAAATTACTTGTTTTGGTCTCAATTGACTTTTTACTATTATTAAATTATATCCATTATTGTTTTGTTAAAAACGGGAAAGAATTGATTAACAAAATACATATTGGTTTTAAATGAAATGGATAACGAAACTACAAAAGCCTGGCAAACAAAAAATTTAAACAAAAAAAGAAAACAGAACAATATGTTTTTTGTACAATTTTTTAAAATTAATTATAAAAGCATTTCCACTAATAATTTCAAACAAAGATGTTAATCAAGATGTTAATGAAGGATTGCAATATTATAATGATGATTTATCTTTCAACTGATACTTCTCAATCTCCTTTCAGTCTCTTTCTTCTTGTGTAAATTTTTCTACAAAATTTGGAACCTTGGAATTGGTGCTCAATTAAAACAACCGAGTTAGGTTATGTTGCTAAAGAATTTTTAGCACATGTATTAATTCAGCATCAATAGAAAAGCTTTGGATTTTTGTATTCTCCGCATAGAAATATATTTCATGTCTTTCTTGATATTATAGTAACATTTTTAAAAAGTAAAATTTTAATCAATAATTTTTTTATTATAATATAATAAGGCTATATTACAATGGCTTAAATTTGAGCCAAGTATACAGAAATAAAAACTTGAGATTATTAATCATTCTAATAATGCTCAAAATTTAGACCAAAATGAAGTTAATTCAACTGAAACTGATGAAGAAAATTTGAATCACAATGAATGTGATTTTGAAGACTTTGAGATTAAGATGAAAATCTAATAATAGTAAAGGTTGTAATTTTGAATCAATATTGTCTTTATGAAACAAAATGTTAGAAGCTGAAAATATGGCTTTTCATGAAAATGAAGCAATTACAAATGATAGAATCAATAAAAATTTAATTACTGATGCTTCCAATAATATACACCCACAAAGGGATAATAATGCAAAATGGGAACTGTGCAATTTGTTCATTGTAGATTTACAACTACCATATTACAGTAATGTATTTTAATTTTCATGAAAATTTCATTGCTATAAAAAATAAATAATTTTAATATCATAAGTATTTTTGATTGTAATTGATTGGGCTGGATTGGACTGGATTGGACCAGTCCAGTTGGTCCAATGAATAAAAAAACAGGACTTAGTCCAGTTGCAAACACTGGTTATTAAATTACATGATCATTTGCCAACAATATATTGGAGACATTATTTTTTTTGAAGGATGCCAATCTTTTGTTTTATTATATTATAAATAAAGTAAATCTAATCTATAAGTCTATAAATGAAACTTATTAAAATATTATAAAAAATAACTAACAAAAAATGTTGAATTAATAAAAAAATATGTTACGATATTATCAATTTAAAATAATAGTCTTGATAAAAAATTTATTTTCCGAAATAAATTTACATTGTAACTGATTTTAATAATAACGATTCCCAAAAAAAATTGTAAATATATTTTGCAAAATTAATTCATAACCAATATCCAACTTTGAGTTGGATATTTAATCAAGTTCACGTTGTCTGTCAGAATAATAAATTCATTTGTATATTCAGTGCTGGAATTCCTCCAAGGATTGGTAAAAATTCCACATTATTAATGATAAAAAAGTAATTTAGGAGCTGTAAATCTGAATCTTATTTTTCGAAATGTTGTTTTTTTGATTGTGTGTTTCAGATATTATTGGTTATTTGTTGGTTGTGTTATCTAATCAAAAAAATTATAAATTGATTACTTAACTAATTTCCAACTTTCGAGTTGGATATTTAGTTAAGTCTGCTAGGATAATAAATTCGTTTGTGTATTCAATGCTGGAATTCCTCCAAGAATTAGTAAAAACTTTTGCCAATTCTGCATTACTAATCTTAAAATCAGGAATTTGTTGTGTGAGCTCATTTAACAAGGCAAGATAGAAAAGTAATTGAGGACCTGGTAGCCCTGAATTTGTGTTATTTTCAAGAAGTAATTGTGCATTTTTAAGTTCAGGTACGCAAATAGTAATAATTTTGCCACTAGATAATTTCGCAGTGGTGGAAAGAGACTGATTTTTATTTATTATCGAAAAAAAGCAATTGTAATTATATGAGCGAAAAATTAGCGATTTTTCTTTGATTTTTTATTAAATCAATGTTTTCAGAGTCTTTTCTGCTCACCATCATGATTTAGTAGCTAATTTTCGTATTATTTTAATTTCCATTCAACTTAATCAAAGTGTATTGTTTATATTTAAAGGATTAATTTTTTAGAATTTTTTTAGAAGGAATTATTTTTTCATATTTGATTTTTTTTTAAAAAAAAAGAGAATTTGAGGATGTTTATATAATTATGATAAGGAGAAAAAAATAAAGATCCGAATAAACTTGATTTTATAAATTTACTAATTAAATATTAATATAGTCAGTGTATATGATTCAGCAGAATTTTGCTTGCGTAAATTAAAGTAGACCGTATAAATAAAAATCTTCATCACACCTTGCACAGTGTAGGCTGGGCAACGCGGAAAAATTTTACGTTCGCACCGCATCAATACTAACCTTAAAACGGAAAAAAACAAAAAAATCAGAAAACTAACAATTATTTTGATTGTTTTGGTATTAATTTTTTTTAGAAGGAAAGATGTGTTAAAGTGAAAATGAATTGTATTTATTTATGACATTAATTACATATAACTAGCATCAAATTTAAATTTCAATAATTCTATTTGTTTACTGCAAAATTTTGCCGATCGCTAGTATAATTTTGTGGCGATAATAAACAATATTAATAATAATAATTTTTAGAATTTTTGGAATATAACCGTCCCTCACGTGAAATTTAAACTTTTCAAAGTAACCAAACATCTATTTATATTTCTTTTTTTTTTGAATAAAACTAATTACAAACGCTTATTTATATTTTTTTTTCTTGAATAAATAATTAAATATTATACTTGAATCTTAAGTTTTATATAGCAATTTTAGGCAAGAATCCAGCGGTCCCTCCATATAAAGATAAAATATTTTATAGGAAAGTCCATTTGAAAATTTGTATATTAGAACTTTGGGTTTCTTACTATTTATTACATTTGCAAATGTAATTTATAAATTCGTATAAATAGTAGTTTTTTAGGAATGAAGTATGGGTTTCGGAAAATTTCAATTAGTGATCTGCGAAACCTTATAAAATATAGTTCTAAATTTATATATACAACATTGTGCAATAATTTTTTCAATAGCTGTATTTGTATGAAATACAACCAACATCCTGATTTTTAAGTTTTTCCATTAACATTAATAAAAGAAGCATATAGTGCAACAAAGGGTTGTCGATTACTTTAAGCACTTATTGGTTGGGAGACAGAATGCTATGTGTGTACAAAGTAGTTTGGGATTTGGGCAGCATGTATAAAGGTTATGTTATGAAAACAGCAGAACTGGGGAAGGTTTTCTTTTCACTTCATTGGCATTCAACACCAAACCTATTTCCATTATGACACAATTATCTGTTTATATTCAATTACTAATTCAAACCTTGTTTCAACGAGTATTGTTATAATTTATTATTATCCAAAAAAATCAATTTTGGTGGTTTTTTGCACCAACTTCTCTGGAAATTCAACCTTTCGCAAATCTAAATCCAAAGTAGACAGGTAATATCTACCCAAAGGTTTGCTGGTCAAATAAGCAAACTTTCCATGCTTTTTCAATAACTCCTCAATGCTTCTCTTTTCTTTATGGGTTGGCAAATTATAGCCAGCTGTCTGGGCAACCTTGTTTTTCGTGGCTAACCTTCTCCATGCTTGGTCTTTTCTTTTTTGTATTGCCAACCTGATTTGCTCCTCGGAATGGTGTTGAACAAAAAAAACAGAGTTCTTAGAGCGCGCTTGCATCTAGTCCATATTATAAATGTGGCTTTAAAAAACGATTGAGTATTAATTAATTTTCTTATGATCAACAATCAAATTGTTTAAATAACATTAAATTGAATATTAAAGGATCTATTTCAGCATTAATGCAATATGGTAATGATTAATATTCATCATCATTTAAATGTAATCAAAATTAAATATTACAAGTCTTATATAAATTTGTTGTATTTCCTAATTTTTCATTATTTTCCAAGTTAAATTGATTTATGATTACATCTCCCAATATCTACCTTTTGATTTTTTAGTCTGTGATTTTTGTGATGTTTCAATAGAGCTTTTCCTTTTCTCTTTTCTTGATGGAGCACCTTTGCCTTTTCTTACAACTGGGTTTCTAACTTTTTCAATTAGCAAGCAATTTAAAGATTGAATTTCATCAGCATTATAAGAAACAATTACAACAGCCACACCAGTGTTATTGTTTGTATTTGGGGTTTGTACTAGGAAAATCAAGCTTCGAGGTCCCAAAACCAAAATGGATATTTTTGATGCAATTCAATGTATTACACAAGGATTATAAATGATTAAAGTTTCAGAGGGTGTTAACTTAATAAAACCTTGTACAATGGGGTTTTCTT